GCTTTCGCCCGCGAATTTGTTCGCGTGGAATAGTGGCTTCCTGCAGAGTTTTAGTTTAAAAACTGTCCTATGTCTTTTCTCGATCCTTACACAAATAGGTTCAGTAGTTTAGGCGTGAAGAAAAGACAGACAGACAGAGTTACTTTCGCATTTATAATATTAGTTTGGATATAAGTTTAGATAGACATGACATATGGACTATTTGAAATCAGGGTGCTTTTTGAAATAGGTAAAAATTAATCTACATATTTCTATGAATCACAAATCTGTTCGTAGTACCTATGAATGTTTAACTCCACGTTTGGCAAAGAAAGAAATGTAGTTTAAGTGTGAAAGAGCCATGCTTCGGCACGAATGGGTCCGCTCGACCGGAGTGATACCACGGCCTCACAGAAGACCGGCTTGAAACAACCATAGCGTTGTGTTTCGCCGTGTGAGTGAGGTTACCAGAGGCCCAATCCTTCCCCGCCCCCAATCCCTCCTCAATCCCTAAATCTCCAAATCCCTAATCCCTAAAAGGTCGGCAACGCACTCGTAAATCCTCCGTTGCGGGTGTCCATGGGCGGCGCTGATTGCTTACCGTAGGTAATCCGTCTGCTCGTTTGCCAACCAATTACATAAAAAAATGTTTTTTCTTACAAATTTACATATTTTCTAGAATGTATATTGTACATATATGGATGTACATAATAAGGTAAGTGTTTATTTTTTTAAGTAGGTAGGGTGGACATCTGTCCTCATTGGTCTATATTTAATGTGATAGGTAAATCGGAAAAATAGCGAACGAATTACCTGATGGTAAGCAATCAGCGCCGCCCATGGACGCAACAACGATGAGTTACAAGTGCGTTGCTTTGGATTTGGAGATTTTGGGATTGGGCAGGGATTGTGGTAGGGCCTCCGGTAATCTCACTCACACGGCGAAACACAACGCTGTGGTTGTTCGACGCCGGTTTTCTGTGAGGCCGTGGTATCACTCCGGTTGAGCCGACCCATTCGTGCCGAAGCATGGCTCTCCCACACTTGTGTGTTAGGAACTTAGAATACGGATTAGTTTCTTTTTGAAGAGATAAAAGGGAAGGTGTGTCTGGAATTTAATCGACATTATTATTTCGTAGCTAATTCACGCGTATGTGTAGGCATAAGAAATTATTAAAACGGTATGAAAGCCGGTCTTTTTAATTTCCGGGCGAATCTAGATAATTTTGATCAAATGTTGTTTAAGTTTGTGTCTATATGTATATACAACAAATAATGTGATTTTTTATTTTTTCTGAGATACGTCGGCATGCTACCTGATGGTAAGCAATCAGCGCCGCCCATGGACACCCGCAACAACAGAGGAGATTACGAGGACGTGCGTGTTTTCCAGTTTAAGTTTGTACCTATATGTACAACAAATAATGTGAATTTCTTGGAGTTTTTTCTGTGATACGTCAGCATACGACCTGATGGTAAGCAATCAGCGCCGCCCATGGACACCCTCAATATCAGAGGAGTTACGAGGACGTGGCCGACCTTTTGTTAATTAGGGATTTGGTAATTTAGAGATTGAGGAGAGATTAGGGAAGGGGAAGAATTGGGAGTCCGGTAACCTCACTCACACGGCGAAACTCAACACTGGTTGTTTCACGCCGGTTTGCTGTGAGGCCGTGGTATCTATCACTTTAGTCGAGCCGACCCATTTGTGACAAAACATGACTGTCCCCTGCTGTCCCACACTTTTGTACTACCTATCTGTTTTAAAGTCTATTTCTAAGGGAGGTTTTTGGCGTCAGGGATCGAAATATGACCTCCGGCCTCCGTAAGTGCGGGTCTGCGGACGGCGAGTAAGGGTAGCTCGCCGCCCGACCAGAACCAGGCCCGAGCGTACGGCGCGTAGCGTTCCGCGCGCGACGCAAACACCCAATAGACCACCACCGACGGGGGCCTATAGGGCTCATGTTCAGCCGGGGTGGAGGGGTAAGCGCAATGAGGCACCGCGGCCACGGCCCAGAGCAGGAGAAGGAACGGGGGGTTTTTTTAGTCAGTAGGTACCTAAGAGATACACTCCCTCTCGCCTCACCCTGGGCGGGAGAAGTCATAAGATGACATGTTCCTTTGGCTATCACCTAATTTTTTTTGTATTTTTCGGAGGAATCGTGTACGCGGTTACATTACATAGTCTTTTCGAATATTTTTGAAGCTAAAAGGGCTAAAAACGCCATGCTATGCGGTACTTGTCTCTTAGAGTTTTTTATACATTAGTTTTAATACTATGGTTTTTAAGTAGATCAGGGCATTTTCTTCCTTCGAAATATTGATTAATATACAGAATGAATTTACTAGATGTTTTAATAATACGCTCGTGTACCTATTAATGCTTCAAGATTTTAGTATTGTTTTCCGATATTTTGAGTTTATGTATAACTAGCTACTCTCGCGCGGTTTCACCCGCTGCTCAGTTCCATTTAATCGTAGCGTGATGTTTTATAGCCTATAGCACTCAGGAAAATTTTAGCTATCTATCAGTGAAAGAATTTTGGCAATCCGACCAGCGGTTCCAATGATTACCCCCTACATACAAACTTACAAATTTTACCTCTTTTTAATATTAGTGAAATATAAATAGCAATAATCATCTTGACCTCGTCCAGAAGCAGGAGAAGGAATGGGAGGGTATTAGTCAGACTCTGGATCACTCCTCGACCAGGGCAGCAAAAGCCATTAAGTGATTTTCCATTATCGACAAAATTACGGAACCTAACCTTAAAATATTTATAAATTAAACATAATTAAAGAACAATAATGACAATTTTAAATTAAGAACAGGTTTGAAAATAATATTTATTCATTAGGTAAGTATTAAATGGAGGTCGTTGGGATATTTCTGCGCCATATAGGCCTATAGACATACTTCTCTATGTAGGCACCTATATATACATTATGTATACCTTATACATATGTATGTATATATATATATACTCCTGCTCGTGCTGGCCTGAAGGTTAAGACTGTCCTGAAGGTCTTCGAAACGTGGCAAGTACAAATTTTTTTTTTATGTTATAGGTCGGCAAACGAGCATACGCATTAGGTACCTGATGGTAAGCAATCAGGGCCGCCCATGGACAGCTGCAACGGGGGAGTTACGAGTGCGTTTCCGACCTTTTAGGGATTAGGGATTTGGAGATTTAGGGATTGAGGAGGGATTGGGGGCGGGGAAGGATTGGGCCTCCGGTAACCTCACTCACACGGCGAAACACAACGCTGTGGTTGTTTCACGACGGTCGAGGCGAACCATTCGTGCCGAAGCATGGCTCTCCCACACTTACAAGTACCAATGTGACTTTTTCCGAGTTACATGTTGATACCTACTTTCTATGATTACTAAGACACCATTGATAAACGGTAAAGGAAAATGTCGTGAAGAAAACTGGATGTGTAATTTTCTAATTTTAAGTTTTATAAGTTTGAAAGTCGCCAATCCGTCTTGAGCGAGCGTGGTGGTTAATGCTCGAACCTTCTTCGTGTGAGAAGAGGCCTTTGCTCAGCAGTGGGCACTTATAGGCTAATGATGATGATGAAGACGGCATTTGAGCTATATTACAGTACTAGGTTCCGCCCGCGGCTTCACGCGTTTAAAAGTAATGTTCACCATCTATATTAAGCAGTTTAAATAGATTTTTCATACCTATTTTTTTTTACCCGCTAACTCTCGTTCCCTTTGGAATATTGCAATATCCTGTTGCAACTAAGCCTTAAGTTTACTAAGCTACTTGCATGCCAAATTTCAAGCGTTTAACTTAAGCGGTTTAGATTTTTCGTACAAAAGGATTTTCCCGTTAATTCCCGTTCTCGTAAGAATTTCGGGATTTTTTTTTCTTTTTTTAAAACGTTGCTCCACATTAGGAGTTTCTCCTGTGTCGTGGGTGCGGTTACAAACATACAATTTCACATACACATGACACCAAGACCCGGAACAACAATTTGTGGATCACACAAAGAGTTGTTCCGTGCGGGAATCGAATCCGCGACACGTTGCACGGCAGCCAGTTGCCCGGCCACCGCACCAACCGTGCAGTCTAGTCTTAGGAATTCCTTTCTTAGCGCACCTCTACGGTACTCAAGCTGCGTCCCTTCCAAATTTCAAGTGCCTGCGTTTAGCCGTTTAGGTTGTGCATTGATATGTCCGTCAGTCAGTCACTCAGTTTCTCCTTTTATATATATTTAGATTACATTTTGGTATCTTAGTAATCAGCCCCGCCCATGGACACCCGCAACCACGGAGAAGTTACGAGCATATTGACGACCTTTAGGAGATAAGGTATTGGGGGAGGGGAAGGATCGATCCTCCAGTGACAACGGTCACAAGATTGTGTTTGTTTTACGCCGGTTTTCTGTGAGGCCGTGGTATCACTCCGGTCGAGCCGACCCATTCGCGCCGAAGCATGGCTCTCCCACACTTTTAAAAAGTATAATTTATTGTCTTTATATTTATCTAAATATTTTGAATGTTTTTATTAAACATTATGTCAATTTTAATGTATTTTATGCCACTTTAATTTTTTATCGTCAATTTATGTCACTTTAAGTTAATATAATTCAGTTTTGGTTAATTTATGTTAATTTATATGTATTATTTTAAAACGATAATTTCTCAATTCTTTATTGCGTTCTTTATCTGTTAGGTAGGCATGTTATATTATACTAAAGTAATATTAACTAATAAGGAAATGTTTTAAATTCTATAAGTATTTCTTCCTGTAGTTCGTTATATATAGGTAGTTTTAAATAACGACATGACAAAAGTACTTAAAAAAGCGATAGTTTAGATAGGTACAAGTAAATCAAATATAATTTATAGCCTTACTTAGCACTAATGAATATTGTAGCCAGATCTATCAGTGAAAGAATTTTTGAAATTCGACCAGCGGCTAAGCTGAACATCAGCCCTATAGCGCCACGAGCGTACGGCGCGTAGCGTTCCGCGCGCGCCTCAAAGAGCCAATAGACCACCACAGATGGGGCCCTATAGGGCTGATGTTAAGCCGGGTTTGCGGGGTAAGCGCAATGAGGCACCGCGACCTCGGCCCAGAGCAGGAGAAGGAACAGGGGGGTTTTTATTCAGTAAGAGTCTGACACTCCCTCCCGCCCGGCCCTGGGCGGGAGAAGTCATTCGATGATTTTCCCCTCACAAAAAAAGGCCTATAGGGCCCCGTGTATGGTGGTCTATTGGCTCTTTGAGGCGCTCGCGAAACGCTACGCGGCGTACGCTCGGGTGCCATCTTAGGTACATCACTAAATACGACCTAGTTTGGATCTCGTCCATTGTTCTTATGAACTGCTTGTGTCTTTGAACGAATTTCATTACGCTGATTGCTTACCATCAGCTAATCCGCCTGATCATTTGCCGAAAGAAAAAAGTCTTTTTGTCTTGTGATAGGAGGAAAGGAGTTACTACAAGTGTGTTGCCGGCCTCTAGTTGGTTATTAGGGATTTAAGGATAGGGGATTTGAGGATTAAGTATAAGGGGGCGAAAGGTTGGACCTCCGGTAACCTCATTCAGACGGCAAAACACAGCGTTAGTCTTCCTTTACGCCGGTTTTCTGTGAGGCCGTGGTATCACTCCGGTCGAGCCGACCCATTCGTGCTGAAGTATATCTCTCAGACACTTAAACTTCTAACTAATAGTTTATTCTGTTTCTCTTTACAGATATCAAAATTGAAGTAAAAAAGATGATGAAAAACAAATTTTATCAGTATGGAAACCAAAGTGGGCGGGTCCCAGCCTACCCGAACCTGGGTAAAGAAGTCTACGACAATATGGTTGCCAATAAAGATATTGTCGCTTTGGTAAGTCTAAATTACATAACATCACATCCTTTTGACAGTAATAGAAAAAAAAAATGGTAAAGGTTATTACAATCACCATATGGTTCATTTATGTACAATTATTTGGCTATGCACCCGAAATAGTATATTAGCTTCGTGGTTTAGATGATGATAGGCGGTAATTGATATCTATAATTACATTGAAATAAAATTATATGTATAAGGGAGCTACATCTGCCAACAAACTGCTTTACAGTTTGGCAGAAGTAATATTTTTTTTGTTAATTTACTGTAATTATGAATAAACGCTTTTTTCATTTTTTTTTTCATTAAAAAAAAAATGTTTCCCTACTCTAGGATTTTCTCCTGTGTCGTGGGTGCATTTACAAACATACACATCACACCCAGACCCGGAACAACAATTTATGGATCATAAAAAGAGTTGTTCCGTGCGAGAATCGGCAGCCAGTTCTGTAAGAGGACGGCAAACGAGCAGACGGATTACCTGATGGTCATTCAGCGCCGACCATGGACTGGATACCCGCAACTACGGAGGAGTTACGAGTGCGCTGTTGGTCTTTTGGGGATTAGGGATTTGGAGATTTTAGGATAGGAGGGGGATTGGGGGAGGGAAAGGGTTGGGCCTCCGGTACCTAACCTCACTCACACCGCAAAACACAACGCTGTGGTTGTTTACACCGGTTGCCTGTGAGGCCGTGGTATCACTCCGGTCGAGCCGACCCATTCGTGCCGAAGCATGGCTCTCCCACACTTTTCTGTATTAATGGTTCCTTTTTTCTACTTCCAGGTTAACGCTGACACATCGGAGCAAATGACGTATGGAGAAATGGCACAGTCAATAGCTGATATCGCTCTCTCACTCTCTCGTATGGGGATTGGAAAGGGAGATGTAGTGTGCATATGCAGCGAGAAAAATTTCGAATTCTTACCTACTGTGTTGGGTGTTATCTGTTCGGGGGCTGTGTTTTCTCCTACTGACCTCACTTATGGAAGTCGTAAGTATCCCACCATGTCACATCAAATCACACACTATATCATTAGCCTATAAGTGCCCACTGCTGAGAAAAGGCCTCTTCTCACACGGAGAAAGTTTGAGCATTAATCACCACGCTTGCTCAAGGTGAATTAGCAATTTCAAACTTTTAATTAGAAATTATAAGTCCAGGTTTCCTCACGATGATTTCCGTCACCCTATGTCAGTGGTTTCTAAATAATCATAGAAAGTACATATAGCTCGGCAAAAGTCACATTGGTACATGCCATGTTTCGAACCCGTCCCCTCATGCATGAGAACTAGGCGTCTTACCTACAGGGCTACCAGGACATTTTTTATCATCAACCTATAACTAGCCCGCTGTTAAGCAAAGGCCTCTTCTTACACTGAGAAGAAATGAGCATTAAGAAAAGCATAGGATGACCATGCTTCGGCACGAATGAGCCCACTCGACCGGAGTGTTCCACGGGGCCGAAGAAAACCGAAGTAAAACCAACACAGGCTTGCGTTTCGCTATGTGAATGAGGTTACTGGAGGCCCAGTGCTTCCCCTCCCCACATCCCTTCCTACGTAACCCTAATCCCTAAAAGGCCAAAAAGGCTGACTTTTTGACATACTTGTGTTCGGATCATTCTGATCAATTAGGGATTGGGGAAGAATTGAGGTAGGGACACTCAATCCTTCTCCAATCACCAAATATCCGGAACCCTAATTGCCAAAAGTCGCCCAACGACCTGGTAACTCCTCTGGTGTTGGTGTCCTCGAGCGGTGTCGATTGCTTACCATGAGGTTATCGGTCAACTCGTTTGCCTGTGTTATCGGTCAAATACTTTCTTTTCTTTCTTTCTTCTTTGAAGTCCAGATTTCCTCACGATGTTTTCCCTCACCGTATGTCAGTGGTGTCTAAATAATCTTAGAAAGTACATATAACTCGGAAAAATCACACAAGTCCAATTCTGTTTTTTAGATCCTCTAGCTCATCGAGTCAAGATAGTGCGTCCAAGAGTCGTGTTTTGTTCCCTAACCGCCTTCATACAGCACAAACCGGTCTTTGACGAAGTTGGGAGCGTCGAACACTATATCCTGTACGGAGACCAGGCTCAGGATGGCGCGATACTCTTCAAGGACTTCCTGACTGAGACCGTGCCGTTGGAAGACTTCGAACCGGTCCCTGTAAATGGATTGGAGGATACTGCTATCATTCTCTACACCTCTGGAACCACTGGTCTTCCGAAAGGTGTGCCTATCACTCATATGGGATTCCTGCTCAATTCACAGAATATGACAACGGAAGAGTGAGTATTTCGATCTTACAAAATTACTTATATTTTTTATGGTAAGTATAGGTTGGCATAAGTTGGATATATATGTCGTGGTGGCCCGGAGGCTAAGGAGCCCGCTTCTCATGCATAAGGGTGTGAGTTCAAAACCTGGCAAGTACCAATGTGACTTTTTCTGAGTTACATGTGCTTTCTATGATTATTTAGACACTACTGACATACGGTGAAGGTAAATATCGTGAGGAAACCTGGACTTATAATTTCTAATTCTAAGTTTGAAATCGCCAACCCGCATTAAGCAAGCGTGGTGATTAATGCTCTAACCTTCTCCGTATGAGAAGAGGCCTTTGCTCAGCAGTGGGCACTTAAAGGCTGATGATGATGATAGGTTGGCAAGCTTTTTGGTGGTAAGCAATCAGGAGTTACGAGTGCTTTGCTGGCTTTTTTTTAGGTAGAATAATTTCTGATATTTAAGGAATAGGAAGGGACCCTACCTCCCCCACGTCTCCTAGGTCAAAAATAAATTAATTCGATGATTCAGTACAATAAAATATTGAAAAATAACTTTACTATACTTGCTTCTTGCATCTGCCATTGGTATTCTCTGCATCACCCAAAGGTCAGACTGGTAGAGAATGCTCAAAGCATTAAGTACACCTTGTGTACAATATCTTGTGCTTGAAGCTTATTATAAAAAATAAAAATAATATACTTTTATTCATAGATTGATCGATACACTAGCTATATTTGAGATATATTTTAGCAAATTTTTAAGAAATAAGTAAGCTATTTGCCCCAAAAATACTATGACGTCATAACTCAGTGTTCCATACAAATTTCATAGAAAAGTATCGTAATTTACATTTGGATAAAAGTATTGAACTTGACTAGTTGGAAACTACCGTTTTCCCTAAGAGATGGCGCTGTACTGTACTTTTGCTACTTACGTTGAATTGCGGTGTTAAGATTTACAATAGCTCTTAATCGGGTCATTTATTACTACAGACGGGAAATTACGGAACGCTACACTGAGCGTAGCCCGACACTCTATATCGCCATATTTTTTTAAGAAAACGATGTTTCTCTCTTAAGTCTTTTTTCTGTATTGTCAGTAAGTTTATAAGCTTGCATAGATATGATGCCAGCCATTTTTTCCCTGGTCTTTTGTTTCGTGTTATGATGCTGGTTAAGATATTTTTATTTTTCAGTTACAAAGCAATGGTTCTATATACATCTCGGGAGTTCTTTCATTCATATGGATTGATGTACGCCCTCGCCTGCCTGAGGTCTAGCGCCACTCTTGTTTACAACGTCAATGGAGGAGAAGTCCCGATGTTGGAAGCGGTGCAGAAATATAAGGTAATTTTACATTGTAGTTTGAATAAAAGACTTTGATCTTGGTTACTTTGATTTCAATATCACAGTATACAGTTGGGCAGCTCTCTGCATCAGAGTTATATTGTCAATGGTCGACACCATCTCGAACATCTTATTTTTAGCAGACGATGACAATGACATTAACAGTTCTAGCATTACAATAATTAGTATGACCAATTAGAGATGTTAGCACCGTCAGCCTGTAAATCCCCCACTGTTGAGCAATGGCCTCTTCTCAATCTTTACGAACGAAAATTTAAAACTTATATTAAACGCGAATTTTGTAGACAGGCATACTTCAAACTTTCAGATTATATTGAGGATAAGAATGCCTGGCAGCATGTTGATTCGGCTCCACTGGACAATACTCAAATATAGTCAGCAGTTAGGTAAAATTCTCAAAAATAATGCATCCTTAATTTATATATCCAAAGAGTTTATATAGAACCACTCTTAAAGATTGTGAGTACGCATATGTGAGCGCCATGTTCGAGACGACAAAGGTGTTTTCACATAAGGATACAATAATGTATACTAAATGTTATGTTAGTGAAATTGTAAAAGATATTTTTTTAAAAGAGTGGCTATGGAATTTTATTGCTCGTTCTTCTCCATTCGAATCTACAATTTGGAATAAGCACTTAGCTTCACTGACGAACAGACTGACAGACTACTATTCTATTTTGACGTTTCAAAAGTACCTATTTATGGTTTAGTTGGAATAAATGATTTTGACCTCACACGGTGAAGGTTTGAGCATTAATCTCCATGTCTGCTCAAGGCGGATTGACGAACTGCATAAATATAAATTATACGATACGACGTTTCGTCACGATGTTGCATAATATACCTATCATTGTAGTTATTATAACAACAGGAATTTGTTTCGTTTTTAGTTCTTCGAATATCTAACTCACTGAGCTCTGAGATGAAAATGAATGTTCCGCAGGGTTCGATATTGGGTTCATTTCTCTTTTTAGTTTAGAATGAGTACAAACAAATTGACAGACTACTATTCTATTTGGCTTTTAGTCGTCAGTCATTCAGTTAGTAACTGTAGTGTTGTATGATATATTTTTATGCACAGGTCAGAGTACTCCAGTTGGCTCCTATGATCGTAACGGAACTTATCAAATCGGTCAACCTGGATAGATATGATCTTAGTTCCATCAATTACATTATATCTTCAAGCACTTACCTCCGAGAAGACGCAGTTGTGGCCATCAAGAAACGGTAAGACCTAAATTATGTTCATCATCATCAGCCGAAAGACGGCTATTGCTGGATAAAGGCCTCCCTGTTCTCCACGTAGAACTGGGTTGGCTCCTCGAGACTGACGATGTCGTCGGTCCACTTAGCGGGAGGTCTGCCCACGCTACATTTTTCACTCCTGGTGGCCCTTCGAGCGATTTGGGCTACCTTGCCACTTCAGCTTACAGATTTTAAGAGCTATGTGGTGCGGTGACTCTGGTTCTATATCAAATTTTGTAGCACTACCTAACTCAAAGCAATAGCTCTTTACATCGCTCGCTGGGCGACTTTACGTCTCTCCAACAGACTAGAAGTAAGGGACTACGTCTCTGTACTGAATTTAACTTACTGATTACACACACTGGCCTCATACGTCCTGACCAAACTAAACCGCTGCTCTTCCCTAAGTTATCTGACCGTCTAGTTTATAAGACATTTTGCAATAAATGGGCAGGAGCCCTGAAAGTCTACCTATAATCAAACGCCTTTCTTGTCCAGTTATTTTGGCTATCAAAGGTTCAGGGATTGGTTCACAGTCTCTGTGGTTCGGGTCTACATTCTACCCACGGGAAGAGAAGGGGTGGTAGCGAATGTATTGTTCTTTTATTTCCCAGTATACCGAGTCTGGTGTCAGTTCTCCAGCTGTACGGCATGTCTGAAGGTGGATGTATCTGCAATGAACTGGCCTGCACCAAGGGGTATAAAGCAGGCAGCTCTGGATTGCCAGGCCTAGGATTTATTATGAAGGTAAGCAATTATCAATTAATGTAGTTTTATCATCAGCTTATAAGTGCCAACTGCTGCGCCAATACCTCTTCTCACATGGATATGGTAAGAATATTAACCACTACGAATGCCCAAAGCGTACCGATTTCAAACATTTAATCAGAAATTATAAGTCCAAGTTTCCTCACGATGTTTTCCTTCACCATACGTCAGTGGTGTCTAAATAATCTTAGAAAGTACATATACTTAACTCGGGAAAACTCACATTGGAAATTGCCTCACTCAAATTCTTTATTTGCATGTTAAGATAAGATAGAACTGTTAATCTTAAATCATCAATCAAAGAGCCATTAGACCACCACAGACGGGGCCCTATAGGGCTGATGTTTAGCCGGGGTTGCGGGGTAAGCGCAATGAGGCACCGCGACCTCGGCCCAGAGCAGGAGAAGGAACAGGGAGGTTTTTAGTTAGTAAGAGTCTGACAGTCCCCCCGGCCTCAGCCTGGGAGGCAGAAGTCATTTGATAATTTTCCCCTCACAAGGGTACAATGAAAATAACAGACACAACTTGGCTGAATTTTTCAGGCGTGATGAAGAAGATTCCTTATAAAATAAAAATCTTTGTGCTGATCACAAAGATTTTTATTTTATGACTTTTCGCCGCTTTTCCAAGATGTTACGTTGATGTTTTTTTCTCTTTACCAAAGGTGGTCGATCTGGAGACGAGACAGCCTTTGGGTCCAAACCGTCAAGGAGAAATCTGCATCAAAGGTCCCAGCGTCATGAAAGGTACGTATGGGCCTTCTCACAAAACAGAGCCTCAAAGCTGTGCAAAAAAAAACAAAAGTCGACGTGACGAAAGACGTGTCAAAAACGTCAATTCTCTATGATTTTTTTTTATGAAATGGCAAGTTGTGACGACATTAACAGTATTTACTTATATTTGAACGAGGGACTTATCCAAACCCCCAATAGTTTATGCATAGACTTCACAAATAAACATATAAACAATAAAAAAAACCTGATTAATGACGAACAAAATCGCATTTTACTATTCCCGAGTTCGTTTTACGCTCTGTGTTCATGAATACTGTATTTTATCGGACAATTAGATTAAAAATTAAGGATTTTTTTACATATTTGAGACGAGGCGAGTTCTGACCGGTTCATTCAATAAGTCCGTCGTTCAAATTTACATATTGTCTTTCTTTAAGTCTTACCATGCCCTTTATTCAGAAGTGTGTTGAAAAATGTCGTATGATACACGTCTGTATTCATGATTACCGTCCTCGACTCCTTAAGAATCCAATGTGCCTCTGCGGTAATCAACAACATTACACACTTGTACCATAATATACTATTTTGGTTGGTTTGACAATAAATGGTCTAAAAAAAACACTAATCGTTCAAATTAATACAACATTGACCAAATCGAACTCGTGTAACGAAACCATAGCGCGATCTATTTTGATATCAACGCCATCTATCGAGCGAGAACTAAAACTTTTTATAAAATAATAAGTTGCAGTGATTTCTTATTTATATGTATATAACTGCAGGTTTAATCCTTCCTCTCTCTCAATCTCTAAATCTCCAAATTATAATCCCCAAATTTACATATTAGGCATAACATAAGCATATGGTTTTATAAGTTAAAAAAAATCATTATGTTAAAGAAAACTACGGAATTGACATGTTTATACCATTTTTCAGCTTATCTGGGCAACGTCCAGCCAGACTGCAAGGATGAGGAAGGGTTCCTGAAGACTGGAGACGTTGGCTACTATGATGAGGACGGATACTTCTTCGTGGTCAACAGAATCAAGGAGCTTATCAAGTTTAATGATATTTCTGTAAGTACACATATTATCTACTAGCTTCTGTCGCGCTGTTTCACTCGCTGCTCGGCTCTTACATATCGTAGCGTGATGTTTCATAGCCTAAAGCCTTCCTCGATAAATGTACTAACAGACACAAAAAGGATTATTCAATTCGAACCAGAAGTTCTGGAGATATGAATAAAAACTGAAATCTCCTGATCAGGTAGCACCGGCAGAATTCGAAGATATATTACTCCAGCATCCCGCTGTTCGAGAGGTGGGCGTGGTGGGGAAACCTCACCACGTGCATGGAGAGGTCCCCGTAGCCTTCATAGTCCTACAGTCAGGAGCTACGGCTTCTGAAGCGGAGCTGGTGGAACATCTTAACAGCCGGGTGAGAAACTTGTGTGGTTACTTATAAAGCGTCATCCAAATACCAAACCCTTCTTCTGAAGAGAATACCCTTACATAGTCCAGAAGCGGAATGCCATGGGCTATGGACTATTCATCATCATCATCATCAACCCATAAGTGCCCACTGTAGAGCAAAGACCTCTTCTCACACGGAGAATTTATCACCACGCTTGCTCAAGGTGGATTGGCGATTTCAAACTTATAATTAGAAATTATTAGTCCAGGTTTCCTCACGATGTTTTCCTTCACGATAGGTTGACTATTACAATTGTTTTTTATTTCTGTTTTCAGGTAACTTACAAAATGCGTTTAGCTGGTGGAGTCCGGTTCATAGACCGTCTTCCTCGAGGAGCTGGAGATAAGCTGGACAGGAAAGACCTGATGCAAAGACTAGTAGACGAAGACTCTAACTGACAAAAGACCGCGATGGTCTTCTGAGAACAACATTCCAATTTTAATTATAAATAGATAGTAAATATTTTTGTATTCTGGTTTTTTTAATGGAATTGTTCGTCTAGTTTCGAGTCACGATGAGGGCTCGTAATACCAAAGGAGTAGCTACAAGTGCGTTGCCGGCCTCTTATAGGTTATTAGGAAGCTCAGGTTTGGCACGAATGGGTCGGCTCAACGGGAGTAATATCACGGCCCCACAGAAAACCAGCGTGAAGCATTGTTTTGCCGTTTGAGTGAGGTTATCGGAGGCTCAATCCTTTTCCTCCCCAATCCCAAAATCTCCACTTCCTAATCCCCAAAAGGTCGGCAACGCACTCGTAACTCCTCCGTTGATACGGGTGTCCATGGGCGGCGTTAATTGCTTACTATTCAGCGCCACCCATGGACACGGTAATCCACCTACTCCTTCGCATATTACTTGACGAGCTTTCGCCCGCGGTTTTGCCCGCGTGGTATATTGATAAAAAGCACCCTATGCGTTAATACCGTGTATCACACACACAGTAGTTTCTGTGTGAAAGAATTATAATCATGATGATAATACACTTTCAGAAACTTTATAAATAACATTAGTGCTAGGGTCGATTATTTAAATTGAATTTTGAAGGAGGTTTTATCACAATTCATCGGACGAGGGTACAATGAATCGTACTCTGGCGGAACGTCAAACTGACAGTTCTGCGTGCGCATTATGGTGGAGAGCGAGCGCTGTGACGTCATAGGAGACGGATCGCCGACGTCTGTTATTAACCCCCGACGCAAAAAGAGGGGTGTTGACGTGTCTGTCTGACTGTCTGACTGTCTGTCTGTCTGTGGCATCCTAGAGCCTGAACGTGAAGCGATTTCAATTTAGTTTTTTTTTGTATTAAAGGTGACTTACGTGCGAGTGTTCTTAGACATGTTTTACGAAAATTGGTTGAGCCGTTTAGAAGTTATGGGGGGGTAAGTGGGGAAGGGTAACCGAAAGTCTGTAAATATACTCGAGTGGGGTCTCAAATGAAAGCGCACTGAAAGGGAATGTTGATGACTTAATCGAGAGCAAATGATATAAAAAGTATAAAATAAAAAAAACCAATTAGACCCCCGACAAAATAAAAATATTTAGTTGATAATAAAATGTATGGATCGGTCCCCAACGCCACGTTTTCTTTTTATTATTACTTTTTAAAAGAATATAAGATTTTTTTATGTAATTTAAATTTTTGTAATTTAAATTTTTGTAATTTATTCGGTCTGATTATAAAATCCTACGCCCTGCGATGGTCTGTGAAGACGATGATCAGGATGTTGATGTTTGTACCAACCCCCCGGTGCCTTCATATATCCTCCGATATGCAATTGTATATAAAAAATAAATATATAAATAAATATTTAGTCAATCAACAAAAAATCGCGGGTTACTCACGTGTATAATTTGAGAAAAGCTCTACTAGTTTCGAGCCACAGAGGGGTTCGAAACTAGTAGAGCTGCGCGACGTCGCCGCGTCCGCGCACGTTGCTCATGAGGAAGAACCCCTCTGTGGTTCGAAACTAGTAGAGCTTTTCTAAAATTATACACGTGAGTAACCCGCGATTTTTAGTTGATTTAGTATGTCTCACGATAGTTATTATAAAAATACTTAGTCAGTAAAAAAATAGGTAAGTACATTAGGTAGTTATATCGTAAAATCAATGAATGAATATGTGATTATATTTCAATATTTCATTACATTGTAAAGTCGACGTAATTTATATTAAATTAATGTAAGGTGTTAGGTGCTGTTGTTGTAATATCGAATAATAAATATCCGTTTTCAAATTATAGTCTTTTCATTTCGTTAGTTAGGTATTTCCCTAGCTTTCCCTAAGTAAGTCTTGTAAGTCTTGTAAGTGATAGGACGACATCAGACGAATTACCTGATGGTAAGCAATCAGCGCCGGCCATGGTCACCCGCAACACCAGAGAAGTTACGAGTGCGTTGCCGGCCTCTTGGGGTTACGGTTACGGAGCTTTAGGATTTGTGTAAGGAAGGGATGGGACGAGGGCGAGGGTTGAAGCTCCAATAACCTCACTCGAAACATGCGACAAAACAAAACGCTATGGTTGTTTTTTTACACACCGGTTTTCTGTAAGGCAGTGATATCACTCCGATCGAGCACTCTGTGAGTTCAATGGAAATACCCCTGGCAAGCTTTGTTCTCTAAAACATACAACAAGCATGCAGCGCCATCTGTTGCGTGAGATAGATGTATGAATATAATAACCGCTACATTAGTACATATGGAGCGCAATAGATGGCGCTATGTAGTGTTTGTTTGTATACAGGCCGAGAGTTTCGACTTTCCTGGTTTGGGCATGGTAGTTTATTTAATGGCCGGCAAACGAGCAGACGGACTATCTGATGGTAAGCAATCATCCCATGTACACGCCTTTTGGGATAAGCATTTTGGACATTTCGTGGGAGGGGAAGGATTGATCCTCCGGTATCCCCACTCCTACGGCGAAATACAACGCTGTGATTATTTTACGCCGGTGTACTATGGCCGTGGTGTCTCGCTCAAGCCGATCCATTGTTGCTGAAGCATGACTCTCCCACACTAAAGGTAAATTCAAAATTCGATGTTATAATTATAATTGATAAGTGAAGGCGCGATTTTTTTACTAGGTGGACCTAAATTGAAACGCCACGGTCATTCCCTGCCAGTCGAACCTCTGTGTGATGTAGGATTACCTGATGGTAAGCAATCAGCGCCGCCATGGACACCCGGCAACACCAAAGGAGTTACAAGTGCGTTGCTGGATTTTGTTTACATACTACATGAACCCAATGGTGTGTATTCAAATCGTTTAATATCTCTGAGACTGAAACACCGGTCGAGCCAGCCCATTCGTTTCAAAACAAGGCTCTCTCACACTTTTCTTTAGTTTATATGAAGGTTGAAGATTTAAAAGACAAGAGTTATATTGTAATATTTTTAATTTTTAATTATTTTTATTACAAAAATAGTATTTTTATTCTTGATACAGTTACATACACACATGACATGTTCTTTATCCGTCTTTGTTTTCGATATTTGGTGTAAGAGTAGTACGAACTCGGCAAGCGTAATGTTACAATACTTACAATAAACTCAAATATTAGGTATCAAAAAATTGGCAATATCTATCCCCAGAATTGTATTATTTTATTCTATACTTATTATAAAGGAAAAGTCTCATACTTATTTGTATAATGCTCATTAGAATTAATGTGTAATAACAGAAAAAAAGTTACAATTTTATACCTTCGTCTTCCCCTATTTGGAATAATCCATCCCCCTTTAGGATGTTCCAGGGGAAAATATTTCATTTTAAACCACCAACGGGAACATACCATCGATTTTATTTAAGAGTGTACTTCTTATGAGATTATACATATATATTTTTATGAACTGAGTATCACATATCCAACATTACACTCGCCGAGTTCAATTACCTTATAATACAATATAAGGAAATTGAACAACGATAATGTTCAATACAATATAAGTTAATAGTACAACGATAATGTTCTACTGTGAGCGTCGATATTTGTCGCATTAATTATATTAACGCGGCGAGCATAAGGTTACAAACTTTACGCTCGCCGCGTTAATTGTAGTTATTTATATAATAATAAGTGCTTATTATTATTTATTTACAAATAATTATATTGTTCTACTGTGTGCGTCGATATTTGTCGCATTAATTATATTAACGCGGCGAGCATAAGGTTACAATCTTTACGCTCGCCGCGTTAATTGTAGATATTTACATAATAAATTATTATTACTATTTCTTAACAAATAAAGATAGTGTTCTAATGTGTGCGTCGATGCTTGATGCATTAATTATATAAACGCGGCGAGCGTTAAAGCTTCTAAATTTATGCTCATTGCTTTTCATTTATGAATACGCATTAGGTATGTTTCACTAAGTATAGCTACTTTGATACTTTTGTATGATAGCGACGTGCATACGGAAACAAAGTTTACGCTCGCCGCGTTTGCTAACATTATTTTAATCGATGATATACATATTTACAAGCAATGAATTTGTTCTACTGTGTGCGTCGATATTTGTCGCATTAATTATATTAATGCGGCGAGCATAAAGTTTCTAGCTTAATGCTCGCCGCATTAATTGTATATGTTTATATAATCATAAATGCTTATATTATATTAATTAACATGAGATTGTTCTGCAATGATCGTCGTTGCCTGTCGCATGAATTATATTAACGTGACGAGCATAAAGCTCCTGAATTTACGCTCGCCGCGTTTACGAGTATAATAACATTTGTCTAATGAATTATAGTATTAATGCGGTGATGAAATTTTATACTTACCGCGTTAATTGTACGTTTTTCGAAAATTACTAATGGTCATTGCTATTTATTTATGAATACTATCTTATTATGTTCCACTATGTCCTTTCATATTTGCATTAACGCGACGAGCATACGCATACGGTAACAAACATTACGCTCACCGCGTTTGATAACATTATGTTAATCGATGTAACACATATTACAAATAATTATATTGTTCTATTGTAAGCGTCGATATTTGGCGCATTAATTATAATAACGCGGCGAGCATAAGATTACAAACTTTACGCTCGCCGCGTTAGTTATAGATATTTACATAATAATAAATGAATATTACTATTTATTTACAAATAATGATAGTGTTCTAATGTGTGCGTCGATGCTTGACGCATTAATTATATTAACGCGGCGAGCGTAAAGCTTCTAACTTTACGCTCGCCGCGTTTACAAACATTATTAATAGTAACTGAAATTATTTTTATTTCTAACATGCACATTTGATTTATGTTCTGTTGTATGCGTCGATATTTGTCGCATTAATTATATTAACTCGACGAGCACAAGGTTACTGCTTCAGTCTTTCAAGAAACCCCCAAAAGTTAGCACTTGTATGCTTTATTAAAGGTTGGTGAAAGTATTTTTTGGTTATTTAGTAAATAT